TATATTTTCTAATGTTTCATTCCTCAAGCAAGTGACAAGAAATGTAAAATTTTGTTGACTAGCTAACTTGTTTTGGACAGTTTCACAGCAGTAAACACTGTTGGAACTTTATGGTTATTGATTTCCTTGTTTTAGTTTTCATTGTGATGTTATGGCTTTGATATGTTGATTGCAACCATTCTGAGGCATCTATTTCATTTTCTTTGGTTTTGTTTTGTTTGTTTAAAGGTGAGTATGGTGAATGCTTTCAGTAGCCCAGCAAAGTAGACCGCGAGCTATTTCGAGGGGATGGATGCTGATAACCATGGTAAATCTTTTGACCAATGCAATGACAAGTCTTTTGACTGTGTTGAGTAGTTTGTTCTCTCTTCTTTTTTTAGTTGTCAACTGTTGTACTGCCAGACTATGTAGAATTTCTAAGTTGGTGTGAACCAGAAGTAATAATACTGTAGCTTCACGACGTGGGCTGCATCAAGACATGCGGTAAGTTTGCTCATCAGACTGGTTAATTTGGTTAGTGCTGTTTGAGATATATGTATACATATTTATTCTATTTTGTTTGTTTAGATGAGTGGTTTCTTCAGAATACTGTTTAACTCAAGACATAGAATCAAATACATTGGTTCAAACCCTGTCCTAGCTCATCTGTAAAAGTAAAACATACCAAACTATGATTTCATCTGTTCTTCTTCTTGTAGCTTGAGCTACACTTTCAAAAAAATTGGAAAGTGATTTAAAAGTCTCCTTTCTCTGATTCCAGGACAGTAGCAGAAGCAAACCTCATTGTTATTTGTTTCCATGAAGATGGTGCAAGATAAATTTTAATCTGCTTGAAAACTTTTCTGTCAGCTAAGTAATTAAATAAACAAATCAGGCAAACTATGACTTCAAATTTGTGTTTGTTACTGTCATCCTTACTACTTTAGAAATGTAGTGTACCAGTAAACATTTTAGTTTTAGCCTTGAAAGATGTCCAACACCAAAAGTAAAGCGAGGCAGTTGCAGTCTTGAGTATCGTAAAATGGGTCAAAGCGAAAAGGATCTGAAATCCTATCATCACATACAGCTTTTGAATGTGTTTATAAGGAGAGGAGAGATAAATTTTAACTAGATAGAAATATAAAAGTGTGTTTAGTTTTAAGTTAAAAAAACAACAACTATGAAATTCAGCATAAGTAAATATATACATTGTACCAAAGTTTCCATAGAACTAGAACTTTTAACAACTTACATCTAGACAAATATTTTTTCTTTACCATACTACTATGGTACCACTAACTGTGTAGAAGTTCAACATTTGAGAATATTTATGTACTAGAAAGGCTGCAGAACCTCACACCAAAATTAACCAATATTATTTCATATGTAGAAGAGAAACTTTTTAACAAACTTACATCTAGATAACTATTTTTCTCTTTGCCAAATACTACTATATCGTTCTACTAAAATTGCTACAATTACAGGGGATGCTTCTGAGAATGAGCAACAGATATGAAACTTAAGGTAAGCAGTTGGAACATCTTAGTATTATAAACACGGGGTCTCGTGTTTTACTTTGTAGACAGTCCCTTGTGGCTGTCTGTTCCTGAAGGTAAACGTTTCCCGTTGCCGATTGCCGTTTCCGTTTTGATAAAGATTGCCGATTGATGTTCCACTTTTGATAAACACGATTGTTGATAAAGATCCGTCTTACTAGCATATTATATTTGAGGCTGTGGGGGAAGGCTTTCCGTCCGCTTTCCGTCCGCTTTCCGTCCGGCGTCCGGCGCGAGGGGTCCTCCACTCTCCAAGTGGGTGTACAACGAGTTGCGTGGGTATCCGCAAGTATTCGAGAGTATTAGCGAGTATCCGCGAGTATCCGCGAGTTTATGCGAGTAATGGCGAGTATCCGCGAGCATCCGCGAGTATTAGGCGAGTATTTGTCGAATTTTTCGCGAGTTTTCGCGAATTTTTTGCGAGTTGTCGCGAATTTTTTGCGAGTTGTCGCGAGTTGTCGCGAGTATCTTGCGAGTATTTTTCCTCGTGTACAAGGAGTTGGCGAGTGGGGGACCCCTCGGTCCGGCGTTCCATGCCAAGCACAGTCCACTGTCATCGCTCTGGAGTTGTAAACATTTACAGCCTTTGCTTCGCGCGCCTCGACTAGCGTAGGTCCATGTGTATCTCGTTGTGTGTCGTAGCGAGTTGCGCAGTTTGTTCATTCTAGTGCATTCTGTTTTCGGGTAGTGCGTGCCGAGGGCCGAGTCCCCCAGGTTCTCGCGTAGGGCGCACGGTGGCGGGACGTTTTCCCCGCCATCACCTCTCGTCACCGGGCGGCGATCGGCTGCTCCGCGCGCGCTGTTTGCCCCCCTATCGCAGCCCCATTGTCCGGGCCGCCGCCCCGCAGCCTCGCGCGTCTCCAAAAGGTAAAATCTGAACGCGTTGAATTGCAGCGATCGGAGTCACGCCAATCGACTGGAAATCTCAAGGAAACTTGAAAAACATTTAGAAACGTACTTGTGCGACGCTTCGTTCGGAAACTGCAGTGAATGATCTTTGAACACCGCCGCTGCGTGTGTGGCTTGGCCTTAGCGGCGTGCCGTCCACCAAACTCCGTGCCCCCCCC